GTTCGTCAATTAGCTCCCAATCATCAGGTATAGGATGATCTGCCAAGAAGTGTTGATACCCAATTTTTCCCTATATATTTTCAATATGCAAAAATACTTTCATATATAAGCATGTCCAAGCATTTTTATTATTTTTTCCATAATTTTTAAGGGTTTTTAAATTGATTTATTTCCCTTTTTCATCCATAAAGTCCCCAATAATTATTTCCAAAATTATTATTTTGGTAATTCATCTATTGGATTCTCATATTTATGCCAAAATTGGCTGAGGTAATTTTTACATATTTTTGCAATTTTATTTAGTATTTTTAAAGCTAAATTGCACATAATTGCAATATTAGCCCTTTCAAGGTTTAATTAGGTTTTATATTTATAAAATGGGGTCCTGTATTTTTAAATTGTTAATTATATGTTATAAATCATTTTAGCTTTTTTAAATTAATCTTCAGAAGCCATTTACTATCTCTTATAATTTAAAAAAGAAAAATTGGCTATTTAAATAACAGCCCATTTGTATTTCAATTTTGGCCTAAATTGAACCCCAATTCCCCAGCCCAATTTTAATCTAAACCCGACCCTTACTCAATTAAATCCTACCCAAACTCGGATCCCCACCTACCCCTTTTAATCTAGGCCATTGATCATTCAGATCAACGACCACCATTGACCCTTACCATTTTTAACCCCTAAACGACCCCTTACCCTAAATCATTTCTCACCACCCGCCGCCCTCGAATCCCTTACTCTCAAACTCTCTCTGCAAAATCACCTAAACCCTAGCCGCCGCCACCCAAATATACCCTAATTCCCTTCAATCCCCACCTAATCCGTGGACTCCCATGGCGGTTTGAGGCGTGTACTCGTCTCCTATGTCTACTGGTTACCTATTTTTGTGATTCCATGGACAGATCTTGAAGAGATCTGATCCAGTCCATGCTCAACCTCTATCTCTGGTCTTTTCCGGCCACCCATGACCATTCAAGTCGGATCCATGGATTTTCCGGCTAGATCGGTAACCTTTCGAAGTCTTTCTCACTTTTTTGGGTTCTGAAACTCTAGCTTTAAGAGCTTTCCGATTTTTCTTTCAGGTCTGTCTTAGATCTATGCATGTTATGAACTTCTTAGTGTTTTCTCAAAGGTTCTTCCATTTTCCTTTAAAATAACTCTTCATTTTCAAATTAGGGTTTCCTAAACTTTTCTCCGATTTTCAGTGTGTTTTATGATTTTACTATGTTTAAACAGTTTGTCCATGTTTTCTGCTACCCGGTTCATCGTGTTAAAAACCCTAAGTGTTTTGGTTCTATCTGGGTTTCTGAAACTCTCTCTTTGTTTATTTTATACGCATGTTTGGTTCGATTAAGTTCTTTGTGTTTGAATCCTTTTTTTTCTTTCTTGTTTGACTTATCTGATTTTGAGTTCTTAACTTTTCAACTCAGCTCTGTCAAAACCCTAATTTCTTATAAATGTTTTCTTCACTTATTGCTATGAGTTTAAAGACTTTCCTTGTTTCTGTGTGTTGATCTCCTTTACCTGTTACTATGGTTTTTTCATTTCTGATTCTATGTGACCACTTGACTTTGTTAACTACTGTGCTCCGAGTAGGTTTCTTTTACTACTGAATCGTACTACCCTCCGCTCTACTATATGTTTGTTGTTGTCGTCTTTTCGTTTTCAACTAACTGTTTGTTACCCGTCCGTCANGTCAATTCTAGCATCTTGATTTTGCATGCATTTGGTCAAGCCAGCGATTGCTTCCGTCAGGTTTGCCAACTGCTCCTCCATAGATGAGGTGTTTGTCACCATGGCTTGCATGATTGTTGTGGATGATGGAGAGTAGCATGGATTTTCACACAGATTGTTCCTTGATTGGTTCACGCTATGCGGTGTAAGTGGGGAGGATACATCACTTGAAGCATCATCATCTTCCTTCATAACAGAGCGCTTGGATCCGGAGAGGTCAAGCAGAGCAAGAGTTTTCTTGATCTTTTCAGCAACATCGCTTCCTCCTTCGGGTGCGTTTGTGGAAGATCTTGCTCCTTTTGAGGATGAAGATCCGAAAACAGGGGTTGATGCGGACGGCACTTGGAGTGCTTGTTGTCCTAAAGAGCTCGCTTTGCTCCTCGTAACTGGTCCGAAGCTTCCAAAGGTAACATCGAGGATGCTTTCCACATCAGCATAGAACCTGGAGTTAGCAGCCTTGGTGGAAGTTGAACCGGAGTTGATTTTCTTTGAAGCCATTTCAATGTTCTTGGTCTTTGGTGATTGAAAAGTTGAGATGAGAAGTAGAGATTGTCCCACTGGGCGTGCCAGAATTTGTAGACAATAAATTTGCGCCGAGAAAATAAAATCAAGACCGAAAATATCGCAACAATCGTAGTATTTTTTATTTTGAATATTTGAGTGTTACAATCTCTATGAATCCTCTGATTCTTCTTTTCAATAGTGAATAAATTCAAGGGCCTTTGAGCTTGATCTTGAATCTATATTTGTTTCCACGAACGATGATCTTGTTCTTGAGCTTGAGCTTAATTGCTTGAACTTGACCTTGATTCGTTCTTCGTTCTTGAGCTTGAACTTGATTTCTTGAACTTGAACTTGATTGCTTGAAGCTTGAAACTTGTAGAGGAATTTGCGGCGTTTGATCCACGAGCTCTCTCTTGCTTCTTGTTATAACTTCTTGTGTCTTTTCTAGGTTATGAAGACCCCTATTTATAGTTGTGGGAGGGAGGAGTTGTGATAAGAACAAACTCTTTCCGACCAATCAAATTGAAGTGTGACATGGCCGCATTTGATTGGCCAGAACATGTCACTTGCACACGTGGCGCGGTTTCATTGGCCTTTCAGTGTGACTGGGCATGCCTTGTCATTTTGACACGTGGCGTGATCCTATTGGCTCTTCTGCTTAACTTGGCGTGCCACGTCATTTCACGCGTGGCACCAAACTGGCCTCTAGGAAGATCTGGGCCTAATGAAATGGGCTCATTACTTGTAGCCCAATTAAATGGGCTAACCCAATGGATTAAGACTTATTTATTTAACCCATATGTGTTGGACTTATATAATTAATTCAATTATATTAGCCAATAATATTTATTTGGACCAATATATTTTGAATTTAAAATATAGTCCAAATTATTTATTGAATTTAAATTCAGTAAATTTTACATGCCTACAATTACATCGAGTTACACCCAAATCCAATTCCTATTGGCTTTCCAAATAGACTCTAAGTGTATTTTTACTCAAAAGTATTTTCAAAAAAGTACTTTTGGAGAGAAGCTACTTTTTTCTGCTTCTCCAAAACTGCTTCTAGTTCTCCTCAAAAGCACTTTTTTTCTTCTAAAAGCTTGGCCAAATAATTCAATTTTGAAATAAAAACACTTTTTTTGAAGAAAAAAAAATGTGTTTTTGGCTTTAGAGAAACTTGGCCAAACATGTTATTACTCTAGTTTTGTTTTTATAATTAAGGGCGTAAATTGGATAAAGTATATTGTCTTTGATTTCCTTGTTTACTTACACTTCTGTTAATGTTGATTAGGAGTAATACTTTTGTCTTCTTAAAAAAGTGATTTGTGATACTAATTCTCTAATTGAGGGTTAATTATATTCGCAAAAAACCAAAATTATTGTAGTAGTTCATTTTTTTTTTTTCTCTCTAACTTTTATTAACACAAGTACGCCACACACACCATTAAAAAGATAGAACCACTACAATTCTTAAGCTAGTTGTAGTCGTCATATGAATCCTTAATATCAATATTTTTTTTGTTTGGAGCTATTATATTTCAATACTGCAAACTCAAGGACAGAACCAGTAAGTTAAACGAAATTGGCTAGGGGTGCGCATTCGAATCGGTTTATCGATAAATCAAATCGATTATTTGTTATCGAAATCGAAATCGAAAAATCGAAACCTTATTGAAACGATAACGATAAGCATATGTACAAATCGATAATCGATAAGTAATTATCGATAAGGGTCAAAATCGAATCGATAAATCCAATGCACACACCTAGACTATAGACACTTGTTAAATGAGTAATTACCTATTTGTGTAGATTAATATAACATACAGAATGTATATATATTCCGCTACTATTTTGAAAGCGGCTATACAATATTATTTTCCCTAATCTATACCCTTTCCTTTACCCTAAGTCCCTTACCCTATTATTTCCTCTACTACATTTAAGGAATGATCATATTTAAAGATCAAGGGAATGAAGTTGAAATTAATGGAAAACAGAATTAGCCGTGATGATGTGTTTTGTTTTGTTTTGTTTTTTTATATCGTTGGAGTGTTGGTGGCATACATTTGATCCCTTACTTTAGTTTTGTTGCATGTGCTTGTTGACACAATTTTTATATTATAAATGGTGTTCGTCTTATTTTAGCTTCTTTTTGTCCATATTAGTTAGGCGCGTTTATAGCGATATACTTTCCGTGGAATCCCGCAAATTTTCTTATTGATGTAATCGATAACCGAATCGATAAGCCCCCAAAATCGATAAATCGAAATCGAAAAAATCAAAACCTTATTGAAACGATAACGATAAGCATATGTACAAATCGATAATCGATAAGTAATTATCGATAAGGGTCAAAATCGAATCGATAAATCGAATGCACATCCCTAAAATTGGCAAGTGTATATGATTTTGATTTAAATTTGACAACTTGGCCCCATGAGCTCATGACCACAAGTTTAAACTTCTAATGACAGAGAAAAAACAAAGGAGCAATAAGTGAAGAGAGAATCAGATTATTTTTGATAAAAGAGTGGTGATTGACAAAAGTCAAAAATGATCTTTGCGAATTTGGCATTTTTAATTAACTAAGATCATTAAAAGTTGTCACGATCCAAATTTTACAAAGTCGTGATGACACCTAACTCAACCAGTTAGGCGAACATACCAACATAAAAGACAACTCAAACTGAAGTTCATCAAATAAAGCTAAAACAAACTACCCTAAGAATTGAAGTCACAAGTCAAGAGCATCTAAGAATATGAATACAATATTGATATGAAGAAATACATCATCTGTTTACAAGATTCTAGGTTACCGTGAACAAATGACAGTTAATGACTGCAATTTGCTCGGACTCTGCGACATCGATCTCAGCTCCAACGTCTGCAATGTAAGGTACAGAAGTGTAGTATCAGTACAACTAACCACATATACCCAGTAAGTATCAAGACTGACCTCAACGAAGTAGTGACGAGGTTTAGTCAAAAGATACTCACTTTACATGACTTGTTTAGTTGGTGCACAATCGAAGTTAAAGATAAGCATGTCTTTTCTCAAATATCATGATCAGAAGCATACCAATGTACCGAATCTGCATATAAAGGAGATATATATATATCAAGCAACATCTATTCAAATACTTTTACATGAATCTAGAATATGTCTATGCATGATAAAGGCTCGAACATTACATCAACCAATACCCTCAAAGTATCCAACCACATGTTAATATATCTCATGCATATGTAAAATGCATCGAATAACATATAAGAATATATGCATGAATGATGCATGTAGAATGTAGAAATACACATATCTCACGTCAAACCAAAAACATGTCGGTTTCTCACAACCTGCACACACATGCCAAGGTAATAGCTACAATCATCAATCTGTAAGAAAATATCCGTCGTGCCAATATCCCTCAAATCCTCACCATGCATATATATCAATAATCCGCACGAAAAACACCCATTGTACCAATATCTCTGTCATCCCCACCTTGCATATATATCAATCCGCTCTGAACTCGCCCATGCAATATCACCTCATCTGCACCATTCATGTACATAAGAGAGTACGCAGGATGCAATGCATATGTACAAGAGGGATAATTATGCTTAGTATGCATATGTACAAGAAATACTTGATATGCAAGGTGTATACATATGCATAATTAATATATGACCACAGCTATAAGGGGTCGTTTGGTAGGAGGTATTAGAAAAAATAATGCAAGCATTAGCTTTGTGCATTACTAATACCTTGTTTGGTATATTTTTTTGACATGTGTATAACTAATGCTTGTATTAATTATACATCATACTTGGTATTATCCTATGTATAAGTGATGCATAGAAAAACCATGACATTAGTAATACCAAGGCTATTAATGCATGCATTAGTGTGGTTAAAGGCAAAATTATTCTTAAAGTCCCTTAAAGCTAGAGAATATGGAGGGCACTTTAGTAAACAACTATTTTTCTAAAAAATCATGCAATGCATTATAATTTTTAATACACCACACCGACCAATAGATATGAAATAATAACTGCATAACTAATGCTTGCATTACTAACCCATGCATTACTAATACACCTTATTCCGCATTATTCTTATACACCCTACCAAACGACCCTTAACATGTAATCCAACATATATTTTAGCTCATTATGCCGAAATAAAATGCCAAAAGCCTAGACATGATCTCCGGCATGTGTAATAATGCTCAAGTATTCATACAAACAAGTATATATGTCACACAAGTGGAATAAAACAGGCAAATTAGGAGAAAAAATAAAACAGGAGGCAACAAAACACCATTAACATTGGTCTGGAAAAAAAACAAAGTAGGTTATAAGTTGGAGATTTGGAGTTAAAATAGAAAAAAGATAAAAGGTAAAATAGAATTATGGAGTAATAAGTTAGGGCATAATTGAAAAGAAAAATAGGAAACAATCCCACCACACCAAATCGGTTGTTTCAAAAAAGGGGACTTTTTCATTGTTCCGGAATAATGGATTTAACAATGCAATATAACCAATTTTAATGAAACAATCAAAACAAATATTATTTTGGAATAACAATACAATACAATACAACGAGCAACAGCCATCCAAACAAGCTGTTAATGTATGGACTGTCGATAGGGAGGCAAATAAAGTGACAGACATCTTAGTAATTATGAAAAAGATCTGGGATTCGCATTAGCTTAGTTGGAAATAATATTCTATTTTTTTTATGCCCTTCCTCTTTGTCCTTTATTTTAATTCGCAATGATATTATGAAATTGATACTTGGCGATCAGTTCCTGTTTTTGATGATCTGCCATAAAATTATCTGCTTTTATTTAGGAAAAAAACTCACTTTGAAAAAAAAAAAACAAGGCCTATTGTTGTCTATAAGTCTTCTTTTTTTACTTCTCTTCTAACAGAATATACTTCCGACTTTGATGAAGATTCTCGCAAGTTCTACAAATTCTTTACACAATGAAATAATATTAAAACCCGTTATTCAAGCTTGTTTATTCGTAGGAAAATATTAAAAAACAAAAGTTACAAAAAACGGAAAAGAAAAGACATAGTAAAGAATAGTATAAACAACAACAACAAGTATTCAGTAAAATCCCACAAAGTGTGGTCATAAAGAATAGTATATCATATAAAATATTAAGAATATTGAAATGTTTCTCCAAAATTACAGATGAATTCAATTGAACAATTGGAGGATATTTAGTAAAGCAGCTGAGCAGAAAACATTATCTAGAATAATATTATAACAAGAAGGAAGGCAAGAACGAAGATCATAGTTATCATAGCGCCTCCTCTTATTCCATGGATTTCTGCATATCTAACCTACTATAATAGGTTAAATAACAATGATATTAGTCTAAAAAAAATTCGCACTAACATAGTATATAGTATAAATACCCCTAAAATTAAAGTACCTATCATTCTAAATATATTATAGAAAGTCATGTTAAAAGGGTACTGATCAAATACCCAGAACAAAAAATTAGTGCAAATAAGATATAAGAAGAGAGAAGAGTGGATACGAAAGTAAGTAAATCAAGAGGGAGCTCCCTTCAGTCCAAGCACAGGAAGCTTAAGATTCAACTTGTCTGCCGCTTCATTCACTCAGCTACTAAGGGCTTTTTTAACTTAAACCTTAGCATTTGTGTGAATGAGTCGGCAACTAATTGAATCATATTGTCCCCTATATGTGGACTGAAGAAAGCTCTCTGCATCAATTACGCAAAAAAGGCACCCCACAGAAAAAAATCTTCAAGAATCTCTTGAACAAACAATTTCTATAAAGCATTGAAAGCTGAGAAAACTAAATATTTATGCAATTGAGATGAGAAAAATACTTGGTGTAGAGAGGAAATTAAATAGGGAAGAAATATTAGAGGAGTGGATTCTGATAGTTATTCTTCATTGGCTAAGAGGTGAAGCTCATGGCTTTATATAAGCTAAGAGAAAGGGAATGATTAGACAGTTTTATGGTTTAAAATATTGCATTGAACTACTATTGGAGAGAAAGTTACTGTTAGTAATTAATAGGCTAAATGGCTTCGTGGCCACTTAAATTTGTATCAGTTTGCAAAGCCGATATATGAACTTATATTTTTCCCATTTGAACACTCCAACTTGACAAAATGAGTACTAGTAAACACGTACATCAATTGCGCTGACATGTACAATACGTCACGCTAAGCTATTTATTACTTGCCATGTGTTGTTTGTGGGTCCCATTTTTAAATACAGAATCGACAAAAAAAGGGTACAAATACAAAAAAGAAAAAAAAAAAAGAAACAACACCTGAAACATACCCAGTATTAATCTGTACCCAACCGTCCTCATTCTTCTTCATTCACCCTCCTCCCTTCCTTTCCTTAACCTTCTTTCTTCTCCTTTCTCTTTTTCTTCATTATTCTTTCTCTCTCTTATTTCTAAATCAAATTTACAACATTACTATGGTCATGATTAGACCATAACCAAAACAAGAAAAAAATTGGAATTTCAGAAAAAAAATAACAGAAATCCATGATTTTAAAAGTGGAGGTCGCCCAATATCATTGCAAATTTGCCTTCCTTTTTTTTTTTTGCTGCTATTTTGACAAAGATGAATTCGATGATAGAACAACGATAAAGCTCAAGCTTTCTTCCGACACCGGTGGTTGCGGCATATTGGGACGAAAATAGTGGGCGGAGACTAGCAAATGAAAGAAAAGATTATTGAAGAGGAAGATGAAGGGAAAAAGAAACAAAGAAAGGTGAGGGGGGAAGAGAAATTAGGATGAGAAATGAAAAAAATTGGGTGGGAGTTTTGCTGGGAAGCCGAGAGAGTTGGAAGGGGAGGGGAAAAGAGAAGGGGAAAGGGAAAAGTCTTTCTTTTTTCTTTTTCGTTTTTCTTTCTTATTTATATTTTATTTTAACTCTAATTTTTTTTAAGTAAAAACAATACTATTCACGCGCCTTGACTGCGTGATTTGCATACAGTTTAGCCATGTCAGCTACACTGCTTCCACATAGGCATGGTCAACGGTCAAAAGTATTTATTAGTACCCATTTTGTCAAGTTGAAGTGTTCAAATGAGAAAAATATAAGTTTATGTATTGGCTTTACAAACTGATACAAGTTTAAGTGGCCACGAGGCCACTTGGCCTAATTAATATGCTTCTTTATTTTTCGTAGCTGCCTTGCCTTGTGTTTTATACTCCTCCTAATCTTAGGGGTGGTTTGGTAGGAAGTATTAGAAAAAATAACACAAGCATTAGCTCTATGTATTATTAATACCTTCTTTGGTACATTTTTTCAACCTGTGTATAACTAATACTTGTATTAGTTATACATCATACTTGGTATTAGGGGTGGCAAAATGGTTAAAAGAAAACAGTTAACCACCCATATTATCCACTAAAAATGGGTTGGATAATGAACTTTTTAAAATGGGTCAAATATGGATAAGAACCATATTATCTATTTAGAAAATGGGTAACCAATGGATAATCAATGGGTCGAACTTTTACATTTGTAAAGCCTCAAATTGGAGGTTCCTCAAGTTAGGGAGACTAAGAATTCTCCCAGAAGTGATCATTTGCAAGAAGTCATAGATAATATGGTTACCCATATTATCCGCCGGTTAACTCATTTTTATCCGATTAAATATGGGTCAGGTCGGATAATTTTTCCGCTTTTTCATTACCGTTTCGACCCGAACCATATCTGACCCGACCCGCCCGTTTGTCACTCCTACTTGGTATTATCCTATGTATAAGTAATGCATAGAAAACTATGGCACTAGTAATACGAAGGCTATTAATGCATGCATTAGTATGGTTAAAGACAATATTGTCCTTAAAGTCCCTTACAGCTAGAGAATATGGAGGACATTTTTGTAAACAACTATTTTTCTTAAATTTTTTGCTATGCATTATAATTCTAATACACCACACCAAACAATATATAAGAAATAATATTAGCATAACTAATGCTTGCATGACTAAACCATGCATTACTAATCACCTTATTCCGCACTATTCTTATACACCCTACCAAACGACCCCTTATTGTATTCTGGAAAAGCCCATCACTTTCTTTTCATATGATTTACTTTTGGAAGATATAAAATGTTCGAAATTAATATGCAGATACCGTGGAGGGATAAACAACTTACGTACAATAATAATGTAAGTTCCTGTTTTATTGATCAATGCTTATATAATGTCATTTAGGTGAAACAAACTTTCTCCTTGCCTATTGTTTACCCTCGAATCCGGATAACAATTGAATTTATATGGGGTTTTAAGGATCCGTGAACTAAAAGATACAAAAGGTTTTTAGGTTAAGGAAAATAAAGATAAAGACTCAACAATTGCTGTTAAAGTAAATAATCGCAGAATATAATATTGCTTAGAACAATTGTGCTTTATGTGCCACAAGAATTTAGAGAGATCCCCTTTTATACATTCTGATTAAGGGTAAAAATAAGGTAGGTAAATTGATTACATCGTGGATCCCTGTAATTACGCCTTAATGGCCTGAAGTGGTTGAGAAAATCACGTTTGGGCGAGATATCCGGCGACGCTTGGTTATCCGTTACGAGTCCGGCTTCCGACCTTGTGTGTTTCTCCATCCGGTGGTGACTCCTATCGAGCTCTGTAACGGTCTCGAAATGACTCGACCTCGGTTGTAGACGTGGCCGTCGTTCTACCTTGCATCCAGGTCGGGTTCGATGGCCCCGATTTGCTCCGGACCGGACCCAACCCGGTCGGGCTCAAGCAAAAAAGGGTATCACCCAATACACCTATGGCCAAAGAGTTATAATGCATATTCTGGCTGAAGATCAAATTTCGCAAGTCCCCACTACTGAAATGGCTGTCTTGTCTATCCAACCCAAAAGCTCTTCCTTTCTTGAAGCAAACAATTCTCTTTTCCTCATATTCCAATCACAGCTCTCACTACATCATTGTAGTTGCGAAGACAAAATTTTCATTAAAATAATCCATTACTGTTTGACCAAAATTCAGATCTAGGTGTTTAAACAATTAGATTTTCTTAATCAGGTAGAGTTAATCTTAACTAATAATAATATTCACTAGATTATCTAACTAGTACCGTGACAAAATGCTACAAGATCTCTGTTAACACTGACGAATATACGAAAATGAACAATGCTTAATGGAGTAAATACGATATAAATAGCATTAAATAGCAATAAATGACGTATGATGGTATTTATGTAAGTAGATGTAATAGATATGACCGGAAAAAGGGAGTGGAATCGTGTAATGTTCCTTCTGACAATGATGAATGATTGGTTAGCCTTTGAATATTCTTGGATCGTGGGAGAAAAGCTAGACAAGGATCTCAAGAAAAAGGTGTCTTTTATATGTATGTAATAAAGCAAGAATCTCAAAGAATGTAAAAAAGTGTTATTCTCTCACAAATAAGTGTTCAATTTCCCCTATAACTATGTCTCTTTCTATTTATAAGGGGACATGTGCCACAAAATCCTAATAGTACAGATCCAGAGAATATTCATTGGAATATTCTCTTTAAAGTCTTATCTTAAAACTAGCCGTTATTACTCTATTTAAGGAGAGTGCTCATCCTCGACCTTGATCTCTGATGACTCCTCAATCTAGCCCTTCATCTCTTGCCAGATCACTTCGACCTTGAATATGTCTTTTGTTGAAGTCACACTGATGACATGTGGCAGCCCTCGAAGGCCCTCTCAATGCTGACGTGGTCTAAATATAACTAAGATAATTTTTGGCCCATATAGTTAGTCCCTCTTCTAGTTGAGGTCGTCTTTGCGAGCGAGTTCAATGAGCGTATAATGTCGTTCATGGTCGAGCTTGTCATACATATAACATGGGCTGTAGTCATTGTAGCGAGCAGGCCACGTGGCTCTTTGGGCCGCATATTTTAAACCCTTCGATTTTCCGGGTGTCCTGCTGGAACGATTTGGTCCAAGAGAAGAAGTGATGTCATGCGTCATGATGACGCTGATTCCCGAACACATTGCGTCGATTCTCACGTGACCTTTGATTGACTTTGCTATTTCAATCTTTGTGCTAATTATGGCGAACCGTTTTGATTATGGTGCCTCAAACTTTATAAACATGGAAGGATTTGTTGAGATTCAATTTTTTTACTCTCTCTTCACTTCTCATTCGGAATTTCCTCTCCTTATACATAAGATTTCATCACATTTATGATTCCCTTCTCTACCTCCTTATTAATCTTCACAACAATGTCAAACCTCTCATTAGATGCCCATGTGGAAGATCACTTTGTTCTTTTGGCCGTCGTGTTCATCGATCAGTGAGAAGACATCATAGTCGTCGTTGAGGAGGAAACTCCCCCCTCTGCGGAGGAGATTGTGCCTCGATACCCTGATGCCAAAACCGATTTCCATAATTCACCGGAAGTGGTGACCGAGAGGTTTCAATCCACGATGACGGTCGAGCGTTTAGCCGCGTTTAAGTCTAAGTTCGCCCTTCTCGACCATGTGGAGTTAGTTCCTGCGGGCGACGATGAAGTACGAGTCCATCATCTCGGATATTGTGCCCTTTACGCCTATCCATTCACCATCAGCTATTAGTTTTCCTTCCCTCTGTTAATAGAGGAATTTTGCCGCCACTACAATGTGTGCCTTGCGCAGCTCGCCGCCTACGTCTTCAAGGTGGTAAAGATGTTGGCGAAGTTCGCTGAATTTCCGAAGTCGAGATCACGGTGCGCTACTTGGTGCACCTTTTCGCCCCCATTTCTACCGAGGAACGTTACTGAACCTTCGCCACCGCGAGAGAAAGTTCTTGGTGGTGAGGATGGATGAAAAGGGTAGTCGGCATTTCTAGCTCGATTATTTCTTCGTTAGGACTGAGGCCATAGTGTCTAATGTCGCCAGCTTCCCTGAGGCTTGGAACCCCACCCATAAGTATTCATGTTGTTTGTGTTTCTTGTTCTCTTTAATCCTCTTTTTGTTGTGGGCCGGCCAATTAACTCTTCTTTTTCTACAACTACTAATCGACCTCTTTAGTTGGTGACACATATTGCCGACTAGGTCAGGCGGATCCTTCCCTATACGGCGGGATACGTGACTGGTCGAACTTCTTCCAGAAGTTCAAACCGGCTCTCCCCTCGACAGGCTATCTCTTCCATATCATCGATGTTGTTTTTATGCGGTGTATATTTCATCGTCTGTACTGTTCCCTTTTTTTTTAACTTTTCTCTAGGCTTTGTTAGAGGGACCGCGAGGAGGGCTAGGCCCCCCATGCCCTCGTTCCGGAGGAGGAGGGACGCTACGCCTTTGATCTCCGCCCCTGTCCTAGATGTTGCAACTTTTGTACCTGTACTAATTCCAACTATTGCAACCTCTGCCTCTGCCCCTATTTTGGTTGTTGAAACCTTTGCTCCTCCATTATTTTTGCTAGTTGACGAGGATAACGAACACTCGCCTAGTGACGGGGATCTTCTACCTGGATGTGGGTGGCGGAGCTCTTTTGGCTGTCGACATCGTGGAAAAAGGATTCACGTTGTGTGAGATGTCGACAATTTATGTTGGCGACGATATTGGGCTGAGCCTTGAAGCCCCACAACCGGTAGAAGTCAATGAGGGTTTGCCTTTGCATTCCGAGGGGGAAATGATCGAGGAGAGGGCTTTTGATGGAGGCCTCACACTTTCGAGACAAGAGCAGGCTTCATCCTCTCGGGCGACAATAGATGTTTCTTCATTCGCTGGTGATAGAGGAAAAATTGTTTCTGAAGAGGGCGATGAGTCAGGTTCTGATATTGACTTGGACGATATGAGGATGATCGATGAGGGGCTCACCCAACTTAAGGTGAGAGTGGAAGGAGTTTCGAGGAC